TCCATGGTTATAATGTATTTACACAGATACATCCATGGTCATTATGTATTTACACAGATACATCCATGGTGATAATGTATTTACACAGATATATCCATGGTCATTATGTATTTACACAGATACATCCATGGTTATAATGTATTTACACAGATACATCCATGGTAATAATGTATTTACACAGATACATCCATGGTTATAATGTATTTACACAGATACATCCATGGTTATAATGTATTTACACAGATACATCCATGGTCATTATGTATTTACACAGATACATCCATGGTCATTATGTATTTACACAGATACATCCATGGTGATGATGTATTTACACAGATACATCCATGGTGTTAATGTATTTACACAGATACATCCATGGTTATAATGTATTTACACAGATACATCCATGGTTATAATGTATTTACACAGATACATCCATGGTCATTATGTATTTACACAGATACATCCATGGTGATAATGTATTTACACAGATATATCCATGGTGATAATGTTTTTACACAGATACATCCATGGTGATAATGTATTTACACAGATACATCCATGGTTATAATGTATTTACACAGATACATCCATGGTTATAATGTATTTACACAGATACATCCATGGTTATAATGTATTTACACAGATACATCCATGGTCATTATGTATTTACACAGATACATCCATGGTCATTATGTATTTACACAGATACATCCATGGTGATGATGTATTTACACAGATACATCCATGGTGTTAATGTATTTACACAGATACATCCATGGTTATAATGTATTTACACAGATACATCCATGGTTATAATGTATTTACACAGATACATCCATGGTCATTATGTATTTACACAGATACATCCATGGTTATAATGTATTTACACAGATATATCCATGGTCATTATGTATTTACACAGATACATCCATGGTGATGATGTATTTACACAGATACATCCATGGTGTTAATGTATTTACACAGATACATCCATGGTTATAATGTATTTACACAGATACATCCATGGTCATTATGTATTTACACAGATACATCCATGGTGATGATGTATTTACACAGATACATCCATGGTCATTATGTATTTACACAGATACATCCATGGTTATAATGTATTTACACAGATACATCCATGGTGTTAATGTATTTACACAGATACATCCATGGTTATAATGTATTTACACAGATACATCCATGGTTATAATGTATTTACACAGATACATCCATGGTTATAATGTATTTACACAGATACATCCATGGTTATAATGTATTTACACAGATACATCCATGGTCATTATGTATTTACACAGATACATCCATGGTTATAATGTATTTACACAGATATATCCATGGTCATTATGTATTTACACAGATACATCCATGGTGATGATGTATTTACACAGATACATCCATGGTGTTAATGTATTTACACAGATACATCCATGGTTATAATGTATTTACACAGATACATCCATGGTCATTATGTATTTACACAGATACATCCATGGTGATAATGTATTTACACAGATACATGGTCATTATGTATTTACACAGATACATCCATGGTTATAATGTATTTACACAGATATATCCATGGTCATTATGTATTTACACAGATACATCCATGGTGATAATGTATTTACACAGATACATCCATGGTGTTAATGTATTTACACAGATACATCCATGGTTATAATGTATTTACACAGATACATCCATGGTTATAATGTATTTACACAGATACATCCATGGTTATAATGTATTTACACAGATACATCCATGGTCATTATGTATTTACACAGATACATCCATGGTTATAATGTATTTACACAGATACATCCATGGTCATTATGTATTTACACAGATACATCCATGGTTATAATGTATTTACACAGATATATCCATGGTGATAATGTTTTTACAGATACATCCATGGTGATAATTTTTTTTACACAGATACATCCATGGTTATAATGTATTTACACAGATACATCCATGGTTATAATGTATTTACACAGATACATCCATGGTCATTATGTATTTACACAGATACATCCATGGTCATTATGTATTTACACAGATACATCCATGGTTATAATGTATTTACACAGATACATCCATGGTGATAATGTATTTACACAGATACATCCATGGTTATAATGTATTTACACAGATACATCCATGGTTATAATGTATTTACACAGATACATCCATGGTTATAATGTATTTACATAGATACATCCATGGTGATAATGTATTTACACAGATACATCCATGGTTATAATGTATTTACACAGATACATCCATGGTGATAATGTATTTACACAGATACATCCATGGTGATAATGTATTTACACAGATACATCCATGGTTATAATGTATTTACACAGATACATCCATGGTTATAATGTATTTACACAGATACATCCATGGTTATAATGTATTTACACAGATACATCCATGGTGATAATGTATTTACACAGATACATCCATGGTTATAATGTATTTACACAGATACATCCATGGTTATAATGTATTTACACAGATACATCCATGGTCATTATGTATTTACACAGATACATCCATGGTCATTATGTATTTACACAGATACATCCATGGTGATAATGTATTTACACAGATACATCCATGGTGATAATGTATTTACACAGATACATCCATGGTTATAATGTATTTACACAGATACATCCATGGTTATAATGTATTTACACAGATACATCCATGGTCATTATGTATTTACACAGATACATCCATGGTCATTATGTATTTACACAGATACATCCATGGTGATAATGTATTTACACAGATACATCCATGATGATAATGTTTTTACACAGATACATCCATGGTTATAATGTATTTACACAGATATATCCATGGTGATGATGTATTTACACAGATACATCCATGGTGATGATGTATTTACACAGATACATCCATGGTGATAATGTTTTCACACAGATACATCCATGGTCATTATGTATTTACACAGATACATCCATGATGATAATGTATTTACACAGACATATCCATGGTCATTATGTATTTACACAGATACATCCATGGTTATAATGTATTTACACAGATACATCCATGGTGATAATGTTTTCACACAGATACATCCATGGTCATTATGTATTTACACAGATACATCCATGATGATAATGTATTTACACAGATATATCCATGGTCATTATGTATTTACACAGATACATCCATGGTGATAATGTATTTACTCAGATACATCCATGGTGATAATGTATTTACACAGATACATCCATAGTTATAATGTATTTACACAGATACATCCATGGTTATAATGTATTTACATTGGGATACCTTAAATAAAGCGCTTCGTTCACTACCTTCGTTAAAATTATTTGTATTCTCATAAATATCAGATGTACCGTCTCCCTGCCTGTTTATTACATAACACACACGACTTACACACTACTGTAGTTCCCTGAATTATGATGATTTTAAGACAACCCTTGTAAATAATCAGCTTCGTATACTTGTGATATACCTTTTGAAAACGTTTCGCTGTTTCTTGAGTGCTGTCTTTATACCAAAGAAAGGAATATTTAAATCCAGTTTACTATTTTGAATGTTGCTTTCAATTTGGATAAAAATTTGTTCGGAAATCCTCATCTTACCACAGATCTTAGTTTAGATATCTCTAGACAGGTGCATGACTTCATTAGGCCAAGTAACAATTTTTATTCTACTGGTAATAATCAAAATATAAATTTGTGTATAGTGTTATGCATGTTCCAATTAGTAATTGGTTTTCATGAGTATTAGGATATCGCTCTCTCCATCCCATGGTATAGTGTATCGATGATGGACAACTTGTGGGAAAGCCGAGAAGACTAGTTTAACGTTGAATTCTTTAAAGTCGTGGTATGAAAGATGATGATTAAAATATAAAAAATGTTTTATATAATAAAATAATGCAATCTAGTCATTGATCGTATTTGTGATCGCAGAAAAAAACAATTCGTGTTACACTGCAAGGAAACACGTTTACAGGTTTATCTCGACTTCACTTAATTAGAAATAAGAAAATGTATTGTGATATCTCGCAAACGCAAATATAGAGAATTAATTAACTTTTGATCCAGTTGGAAATGATTTTACTTTAAAATCTTATCAACTTTATACTGCATATCTACAGAGATATATGCATACATTTCTTCACGAACTAGATGATAAATCTAGCATTACCCTGACTGCTTGAGAAAAAAATGAATATGCATAATTATATAGATATATTTGTATATATGTATGTGAGGAGAGGTTGTACTCGGGGGCGTGAGGGAAAAGCTAATTTTGTACAGGTAAATGCACCAATATTGGTCTACGAATAAAAATCTTATTTGATTTTATTGAAAGCCTGATGGGATTTTGTCCACTAAGTTTCGCACATGGAACCTTCAGTTTTGCCATGACATGTTCCAGGAGTGTAGAGAACAAAAGTGATCGCAACCCCTGGACGATCGAGGATGGTACTTGACTTGTTCAGACAAAAACCGGCGATGTACTGGTTTAGCTTCCTTACCTTACTAAGTAAAATATTGTTTTATGAAACTATTGTCATCATATCAATCAGCTGCGCGAGATCATGCATGTATAAAAATTGTATGACACATACAATGACCGTAAGCTATATATAGACTATAAGATATATATATATATAGACTGTGAGATATATATTGACTAATGTTGGCAAACAAAAATAACTTAAAATATTGATCATGAGAAACTATGGTTTGTTACATTTTTCGTACAAATGTGTTATAGAGAGTTCGGGGAAATTACTGTGATACATTTATCTTCTCCTCTTTAAAACAAGTGTTCATGTCCTGCCATATGAAGTGTTTTTCATACAACATCTGGTTTGTAATCAAATATGGAGGATAGTTGCACACACAGTATAGACTAATGTGATAGCACAATACTGTACGGAGGGATGGAGATAGTCTTCTTATTCACTCTCTTCTGCATACCAGATGTGTTAGGTAAATATCTGTATACTTTTGATGTCGTTTTAGATGCACGAAACAGTGTTATCTGTATGAAATAGTTTTACGCATCATACCAGGCACATTTGATTCTATCGTGCACTGTCGTTCTATCCATGTATAAGATATGTATTTGATAGGAATCTGCCTTTTATAGCGGATTTATATGCGGTTTGTTTAGAATATATATCTCACAGAGTTTACATATATCTTATTGTTGTCTATTTATATCTCAGAGTATTTATATATATATCTTATAGTCTATATATATATATCTCACAGTGTTTACATAAAGTGTTTATATATATCTTATTGTCTATTTATATCTCAAAGTCTTTATATATATATCTTATACTCTCTCTCTCTCTCTCTCTCTCTCTCTCTCTCTCTCTCTCTCTCTCTCTCTCTCTCTCTCTCTCTCTCTCTCTCTCTCTGTGTGTGTGTGTGTGTGTGTGTGTGTGACAGAGATAGAGTGTGTGTGTGTGTGTGTGTGTGTGTGTGTGTGTGTGTGTGTGTGAGAGAGAAAGATGATGCGTGTGTGTATGTGCGCGTGCGTGTGTGTGTGCGTATGTGTGTGTGTGTGGATGTTGGTGAGGGTGGGTGTGTGTGGGTGTGTGTGGGTGTGTGAGGGTGTGTAGGTGTGGGTGTGGATTCGGCCGAAGTGACACCTTAATTTACCCCATCGCTCACAATTTCAACTTTATAATTTTATGTTGCTTCACGTTCCAAATATGTGATGCAACTTATGTTATATATGTATATTAAAGTATTTATATATAATCTAATTCATTCATGGTCTCGATCAGCTGATTGAGATCTGGTTTTTATTTTCAGTTTAGATATTAATTTTATGGATAATTGACTGGTGTAATTGAAATATTTTACCTATTTTTAAAACAACAGCAAACAGCACCAAACAACAGCAGCAAAATGTGGCAAACAACAACAACTGTAAAACATCAGCAAACAATAGCAAAACAGCTGCAAATAACAGCAAATAGCAACAGCACACCAGCGGTAACAACAGCAAAAGTCTGTTTTTTTGTCACCATGACATGTTTTGAAAAAGAAATAAAATAAAAACGTAATTTTGTTAGTGACAAATGCAAATTTTGCATAAAGAATATGTGTTGATTTGAGGAAATGTAATAATTTTTTGCTTTTCTTGTCAGTAAAATAGTAACATTTTGTATGTAAAAAAACCTGTAAAAATATACTTTTGTATGCAAAATACCAACAATACACGCCAAAACACGCCATACAATTCATATACCATTGTATAAAGGATATTTATACTCTTCGGTACAGCCGAAAACTTAATGACGTCATCAAAACCAACCCGTCAGTCGAATTACACAGAATCTACTACAGAAAAAAGATAAAGAAATAGTAAGTAAACATATCCCAGGGACACAAAGAGCGAAAGTGACCGTAATTCCTGAGGAGTATCGAGGATGGTGTAAACGATGTTAACTTGTAGTCAAGTCACTTTCATGTGATAATTTTCGGTGACATACAAACTACAAATGGACAGACCACATGTAAAGTATCCAGTTAAAGGTTAATCTCAGAAAAATTTCTTTTCCTGTAGTACTTGGATCAAATCAAATCGTCCGACATTGATTTGGACATTGCCACGTAAATATACCAAGTCGGATCCAGGTTTACACGAAGCTAATGCCGGTGAACGTTCTGTGTTGTTGTGGCCATATTTGTTACTCTAGGTGGCAGGCGTTGGTCCTTACACATGTTATTCATTGAGGTACCCATCGGCTATTTGAAAGAAATACTGCCTTTAATACCCTTAAATTGTCGAAACGTGCATGTCACATGATTTTGTCACAACAAATCGTCCGACGCTCACATTAAGCCATATGTTTTTGAAATTCTGCCCTCGTTATAAGCTAATAAACAACTTGTGGTCAAAAGTACCTAAATTCAAATGGTCGTATCCCGTGTTTTGATTAATCTTCGACGATCCAAAATAGCATGCCTATTACTTCAAGTAAGATATAAAGATTTTATCAAATGATCTGTTTTAAATATTAGGTTCGATGTTTTACGTCATACCACAACTGATGTCGCCGTCGGAAGCCGTTAAGGCTTGCAAGGATAACAACAGCGAGTTGGCCATTCCGGACACAGAAGACGAGGAGTTGTTAAACATCCTCAAGGAGATTGACGAAAATGGGGCCTGGACAGGACAGTATGTAAATGTTGCTCCATGGGCGTATGCCAGAGGTAAGACGTGCACTTGAGATGTAATTATTTGATATTTGATTTCTGAAATTGGCCGAATATAATTAAACGTTTATTTTCGAAGTGGTCTTAATATGATAGATGATTTCTGCCATTTCCTTGTTTCGTTTTGTCGAACCGACCGAAAAATAACCTTCGTCTTTTCGCCACTTATTATCGTTATTTCGCAGCGACATACAGAAAAAAACGACATAATTCAACACTAAATTGAGAAGTTGCTTATAAGCGGAGCTAAACGATAATCATCGTTATGTCCCAGTCTAATTTCGTCTTTTCGCAGTGATAAAACAGTAATCATCGTAATATCGCCCTGCTAATGATCGTCTTTTCGCCGTAACATAATTACAATTATCGTGGTGTCGCCTTGCTAATGATCGTCTTTTCGCCGTAACATAATTACAATTATCGTGGTGTCGCCTAGCTAATTATCGTCTTTTCGCCGTAACATAATTACAATTATCGTGGTGTCGCCTAGCTAATTATCGTCTTTTCGCCGTAACATAATTACAATTATCGTGGTGTCGCCTTGCTAATGATCGTCTTTTCGCCGTAACATAATTACAATTATCGTGGTGTCGCCTTGCTAATTATCGTCTTTCCGCCTTCTGATTTGGATGATGTACTCACATGTTTTGCGCATGCTCGATACTCCAGGGGATGAGAAATATTGTATTCATTCTCATATAGACAACAAGTTTAATACAGAACAAATACTTTAATTTTTATCTTATACCTACTGACTTGCAGTTGAATGACATACCTACAGGATCTAACAATTATTTCCATGTGTCTTTTGAAATTCGGCTACAGACGATTACATGTAATGGAAACTATCCATAACATTGATCTATTGTATCTAGTTAAGGGGATACACTAACCTATACAGTTTGAATTATTTCAATTGTTGTTGCATGTTGTCGACGATGACCTAGTGATCTGATCCAATCCGACGAAAACCTAGTGATCTGAGTATCCGATCCGACGGAGATCTAGTGATCTGAGTATCCTATCCGACGGAGGCCTAATGATCTGAGTATCCAATCCGTCGAAGGCCTGCTGATCTGAGTATCCTATAGGACGAAGGCCTAGTGATCTGAGTATCCTATCTGACGAAGGCCTGCTGATCTGAGTATCCTATAGGACGAAGGCCTAGTGATCTGAGTATCCTATCCAACAAAGCCCTAGTGATCTGAGTATCCTATCCGACGGAGGCCTATTGATCTGAGTATCCAATCCGTCGAAGGCCTGCTGATCTGAGTATCCTATAGGACGAAGGCCTAGTGATCTGAGTATCCTATCTGATGAAGGCCAAGTGTTCTGAGTATCCTATCCAACAAAGCCCTAGTGATCTGAGTATCCTATCCGACGGAGGCCTATTGATCTGAGTATCCAATCCGTCGAAGGCCTGCTGATCTGAGTATCCTATAGGACGAAGGCCTAGTGATCTGAGTATCCTATCTGATGAAGGCCTAGTGATCTGAGTATCCTATCCGACGAAGGCCTAGTAATCTGAGTATCCTATCCGACGGATGCCTAGTGATCTGAGTATCCTATCCGACGGAGGCCTATTGATCTGAGTATCCTATCCGACGGATGCCTAGTGATCTGAGTATCCTATCCGACGAAGGCCTAGTGATCTGAGTATCCTATCCGACGAAGGCCTGGTGATCTGAGTATCCTATCCGTCGAAGGCCTAGTGATCTGAGTATCCTATCTGATGAAGGCCAAGTGTTCTGAGTATCCTATCCGACGGAGGCCTAGTGATCTGAGTATCCTATCCGTCGAAGGCCTAGGGATCTGAGTATCTTATCTGATGAAGGCCTAGTGATCTGAGTATCCTATCCGACGGAGGCCAAATGATCTGAGTATCCTATCCAACAAAGCCCTAGTCATCTGATTATCCTATCTGATTATCCTATCCGACAAAGGCCTAGTGATCTGAGTATCCTACTATCTGAGTATCCTATCCGACAATCTGAGTATCCTATCCGTCGAAGGCCTTGTGATCTGAGTATCCTATATGACGAAGACCTAGTGATCTGAGTATTCTATCTGATGAAGGCCTAGTGATCTGAGTATCCTATCTGTCGAAGGCCTAGTGATCTGAGTATTCTATCCGACGAAGGCCTAGTGATCTGAGTATCCTATCCGACGAAGGCCTAGTGATCTGAGTATCCTATCCGACGGAGGCCTAGTGATCTGAGTATTCTATCCGAGGAAGGCCCAATGATCTGATTATCCTATCCGTCGAAGGCCTAGTGATCTGAGTATCCATTCCAACAAAGCCCTAGTGATCTGAGTATCCTATCCGACGAAGGCCTATTGATCTGAGTATCCTATCCAACAAAGCCCTAGTGATCTGAGTATCCTATCCGACGAAGGCCTAGTGATCTGAGTATCCTATCCGTCGAAGGCCTTGTGATCTGAGTATCCTATCCGACGAAGGCCTAGTAATCTGAGTATCCTATCCGTCGAAGGCCTTGTGATCTGAGTATCCTATCCGTCGAAGGCCTTGTGATCTGAGTATCCTATCCGACGAAGGCCTTGTGATCTGAGTATCCATTCCAACAAAGCCCTAGTGATCTGAGTATCCTATCCGACGGAGGCCTAGTGATCTGAGTATCCTATCCGACGAAGGCCTTGTGATCTGAGTATCCTATCCGACGGAGGCCTAATGATCTGAGTATCCTATCCGACGGAGGCCTAATGATCTGAGTATCCTATCCGACGGAGGCCTAGTGATCTGAGTATCCTATCCGACGAAGGCCTTGTGATCTGAGTATCCTATCCGACGGAGGCCTAGTGATCTGAGTACCCTATCCGACGAAGGCCTGGTGAATTATAATATTTGAATACTATTTCTCATTAAAACAATATCTTACGCTTGGAACCAAACAGACATATTGCATTAAATTTAGAAAACATGATGCTATTACTATTGTTTTCAAAAGCTATTCTACGCCGCCATCTTTGTTCCGGATTTGTAATCGGAACACTAAAAGAAGATAATTATCGTTTTTTCGCGGCGAAAAGACGGTAATTAGCGGGACGACATAACGAAAATTATCGTTTTGTAGCTGCGAAATAACGATAATCAGCGGGGCGACATAACGATAAATATCGTTTTGACGTAGCGAAAGGACCATATTTAGCAAGGCGAATGATTTCGCCCGCTAATCAGAGACTTCATAAGTTCGGTATTTTGCGTTGAGTTATGACGCCTTTTCGTTATATTGCTTCGAAACGATGATAATTAGCGGGGGCGATAAGATTATCGGTCCGTCGGGACGACAAAACGAAACAACAAAATGGCAAAATCACCCACCATATCCAGACTCATCGTATTTCTCTATATCAAAAAAATCAAATACCAATCATAAATTTGAGCAATAAATTTAACTCTGATGGGAGAAACTAAGAGACAACTACAGAACAATGTGCAAATCAATATGATCAGATTCATGCAATACATTAGTTTATATACTTTCTACAGTCAGTATTTCTCTCTACTATTAACACACTGTGCCTCTCTCTACTATCTACAGACAGTGTTTCTCTCTACTGTCTACAGACAGTGTTTCTCTCTAATGTCTACAGACAGTGTTTCTCTCTACTATTAACACACTGTGCCTCTCTCTACTATTTACAGACAGTGTTTCTCTCTACTGTCTACGGACAGTGTTTCTCTCTACTATCTACAGACAGTGTTTCTCTCTACTATCTACACACAGTGATTCTCTCTACTGTCTCTACTGTCTACAGACAGTGTTTCTCTCTACTATCTACAGACAGTATTTCTATCTTCTATCTACAGACAGTGTTTCTCTCTACTATCTACAAACAGTGTTTCTCTCTAATGTCTACAGACAGTGTTTCTCTCAAATGTCTACAGATAGTGTTTCTCTCTACTATCTACACACAGTGTTTCTCACTACTGTCTCTACTGTCTACAGACAGCGTTTCTCTCTACTATCTACAGACAGTGTTTCTCTCTACTATTAACACATTGTGCCTCTCTCTACTATCTACAGACAGTGTTTCTCCAGACAGTGTTTCTCTCTACTATCTACAGACAGCGTTTCTCTCTACTGTCTGCAGACAGTGTTTCTCTCTACTATCTACAGACAGTGTTTCTCTCTTCTATCTACAGACAGTGTTTCTCTCCACTATCTACACACAGTGCCTCTCTCTACTATCTACAGACAGTGTTTCTCTCTACTATCTACAGACAGTGTTTCTCTCTTCTATCTACAGACAGTGTTTCTCTCTACTATCTACAGACAGTGTTTCTCTATACTATCTACAGACAGTGTTTCGCTATACTATCTACAGACAGTGTTTCTCTCTACTGTCTACAGACAGTATTTCTATCTTCTATCTACAGACAGTGTTCCTCTCTACTGTCTACAGACAGTGTTTCTCTCTACTATCTACAGACAGTGTTTCTCTCTACTATCTACACACAGTGATTCTCTCTACTGTCTACAGACAGTGTTTCTCTCTACTGTCTACAGACAGTATTTCTATCTTCTATCTACACACAGTGTTTCTCTCTGCTATCTACAGACAGTGTTTCTCTCTACTATCTACATATAGTGTTTCTCTCTTCTGTCTGCACACAGTGTTTCTCTCTACTATCTACGCACAGTGTTTCTCTCTACTATCTACAGACAGTGTTTCTCTCTCTACTTTACAGACAGTGTTTCTCTCTACAGACAGTGTTTCTCTCTACTGTCTACACACAGTGATTCTCTCTATCTCTACTGTCTACAGACAGCGTTTCTCTCTACTATCTACAGACAGTGTTTCTCTTTCTACTGTTTCTCTCTATTACAGACAGTGTTTCTCTCTACTATCTCTCTACTGTCTACACAGTGTTTCTCTCTACTATCTACAGACAGTGTTTCTCTCTATCTACTGTCTACACACAGTGTTTCTCTCTACTATCTACAGACAGTGTTTCTCTCTACTATCTACAGACA